GATCGTATAGAACGTATTGAAGATAAGCATACAGATCGTCTCTGGCAAGTCAATCTCACCCTTGCTGGTAATCAAGACGATGATTTTAACAAATTAACAGCACATTTACGCAAACAGATTGCAGGGACTACAGGATGGTCTCGATTCGGTGATATACTCATTAGTGTGGGTAAGTTTGAAAAAGCAGGACATCTCTATGAATTACTCCTTGAAAAAGCTTCTTCTGACAAAGAAAGATCGGAATACTATTTTCAACTTGCCAGGGTGTATGATAACATGGGCGAAAATTCGAAAGCTCTTAAATATTACGAAAAAGATCTCGAATTTGAACAAAAAACTCTTCCTCCGAATCATCCCAACTTGGCTTCTTCCTACAACAACATCGGTTCGGTGTATTATAACATGGGCGAGTACTCGAAAGCACTTTCATCGTACGAACGATCACTTGAAATCCAAAAAATAGCTCTCCCTCCGAATCATCCCGATTTGGCTATTTCCTACAACAATATCGGTTCGGTGTATGATAACATGGGCGAGTACTCGAAAGCACTTTCATCGTATGAACGATCACTTGAAATCTGGAAAATAGCTCTCCCTCCGAATCATCCCGACTTTGCTCGATCCTACAACAACATAGGTAATGTGTATAGAAACATGGGCGAGTACTCGAAAGCACTTTCATCGCACGAACAATCACTTGAAATCAAAAAAGTCGCTCTCCCTCCGAATCATCCCGACTTGGGTTCTACCTACAACAACATCGGTTTGGTGTATGAACACATGGGCGAGTACTCGAAAGCACTTTCATATTACGAAAAGGCGCAAGACATATGGAAAAAATCACTACCTTCAAATCATCCACATATTGCGGGTGTGAAAAGAAACATTGACAATGTGAAAAAGAAAATGTGATTGTTTTTCTTTTAACAAGAAAATAAATTGGCCTTCTTGAACACGTTTGGCTTGCCGAAGCGCACCAACTACAACAATTTCGTGCACACGCGACCAGGGATACCCTCCGTATTCTATTGGGTTGTACAGTGGACAAAGCCGGCAATGATAAGGCAAACATACATTTATGTATGTATGACTAGTACATCCATGATCATCATCTTCGGAAAGACGATGATCAGATGGATCCTTCTAGTCATACATACATAGATGTATGTTATAAAGGCCTACCATCTACACGCCTGTACAGGTTACCAACAGAACGTCGGATATCCCTGGGAAGGTTCATTTTGTTTTAGAGCCACCCTCAAAAGCTCCGTTTGATTTAAATTTTTTTTTCTTCTGTTACGAAGAACGAGAAGAAAGACGACGTTGACGGAATTTTAATACACGCAGCGTATGATGACAACCGGTTGTTTTAACGCATGTTGCGATATTGAGTGCACGATATCTATGTTGTCTTTACACATGTTATGTTCAATTTATTTTTCTTTTCGTCTCGAATGTGTAAGAACAAATGAGATGTCGTGCACTCAATATCATATTATACAAGTGATGATTGAACGAAAGAAGAACACAAAAAAAGAATTATCGACTATTCTCTTTGATTAGTAACATATACATATATAAGAGATAATTGAAAGAAGAAAATGAAAAAGGAATTTATATAAATTTAATGATTTTTGTTATTTATTACATCAGGTTTTACAAAAATATTATTTTACGATCATATTGATTGAATATAATATAATAAAACAGAAGTTCAAATAGATCAAGTGCAGTAGTTGATTTTTTTAAATAATAATTTACAGTCAAAATTATGGATCTAATACAAAGATTTGTTGTAGAATAGTTTTTCGTTCATCCATTGATGAAGGTGAATATTCAATCGACGTTAGACTTTTTCCGTCGACTATTCATTCATTTATTATGATTATCAAAAAATGTTTAAACTTATTTATTTAGCTTTAAAATAAATGAATCAAATATAAAATAAACAAAATGGTTAAACTAAGTAAATTACTTGAAGTTTTAAAATTATTTTCAACAACAACATGTTATCGAAAGTTCTTTTTGATCTAGAGATAAAGGTGAAAATAATTTTAAATCAGTTACGACTATTATAAAAGAAATTCTTTTTTTTTAATAATTTTGTATGAATTATAAAATAGGATTATAAAAGATAATCCTAATGTTGAATAAAAAGCATTCAAAGGTTTGTTTTATTTCAATTTCAATTAGATGTTCTATGGCAATTTGACGAATCAGCAATTGCAATACATTCGAAAAAGATTCAACCATTTTATTAGAATATAATGAAATTTTTTTTAATATTCTTGGTTGATCAATTAATGATGAAAAAATCAAAGTAAGTAAAAAAGAAAATTCTTGTCATCTAAGAAACCTCTTCTAAAGAAGTAATCAGAAAAAAGTTATGCGATTGAATAGAAACATAGAAAATGATTGTAGAATAGGTAGTCACATACTATTCGACGAAATACCGATTGAGAAACTGTCCATCATTTGCAGTAAGAATAATAAAATTTTATTTAGCATTAAATATCAATGAGAAATGAAATAAATTAGTCATAGTTGATTCACTAACAATCGTTGAAGTTAAGGTATGAAATCGAGTGAGAATGAATTTTTCTTTTTTTTTCCTAATATTAATAATAAATTATTTTCAGGAACCTCTCATGTCCTATTCAGTCAATATGTTATCCTATGATTATAGCACGTTTTCTAATGGTAAATGTAATTGGTAAGTTTTCTTTCAAATAATTATTTCAATTAATTATAATTTGTCTTTTATTTTAACAGATCAATTATTTCAGCATTATAATCAAAATCATAGTAAAATTTTAATAACTGGTGATCTTAAATTAAATATCAAAAAATTTCAATCATCATCAAGAAAAGTCAACGATCAATAACAAGAACTAGAAATATTGATACAAATGAACAACATCTTTCAATCAGTATTTGATAAATAATGAATGATTTTATTTTCTATGTAAATCTTTATTTTTTAATATGTTGATACGATATTTTATATTTGTTTAGAACATAAAAGATCATAATGTAATATGAAATTCATTGGAAACACATGAAATTATATTTAAATTTATTTGATTTTGATCAATCATTAATTTCAATTCAAATTGGATCTATCGAAGTAACTTGTATTAGTCACACATTAAACACAGGTAAATATTGTGAAAAGAGAACAACAAGTTTTTATTTTTTCTAAAATAATAGAGTATTCAACATATCAACGTTGATTTATTGAAATGAATAAACAACACGATATTTTAGTATATAAAATGAATGATGAATTATATTCAAAATCAATGATTAATAATGAAAAACAAACATCATTTGCTAAACTTGTTAATCAATTATGTTTTTTTTTCCAATTAGACATTTGCTCAATGTGTTAATAATTTGATTATCCTACTGTAAGTATGTTTAATGCTTGTTTGAGACCTTTTTCTTTTTTGTAAAGTTTCAGTTCAGTAAAACACATTTATTTCATAATCCAAAATTATTTCCAATGTTGTAACAGTAGGAGGAGTCAGATGAATAGGATAAATCTGATGAAGGAGCTTGTAACAGAGTTTAGTTAACGTGACTTCAATTGGTTATGGTCTCAAAGTTTTAGTGAAAGTTATCTGATAGATAT